GCAGAAGCAGGGAAAAAACGAGGAACATATTCATCTACAATCTTAACCCCACGACTCAAAGAAGCAGCGAAACAACTAAAAAATCTGAAAGACGTAACAATAAGAAAAGCCGACAAAACAGCAGCATATGTATTGATTCCTACCCATGAATACATGAACAAAATTAGCGACATCCTAAGTGACGACTCCAAATTTCAACGAATCACGAGGAACCCCGTAGAAGACCTTAAGCGGAAAGTAAACAAAACAATTACAGCAATCAACGCAAAGAAAGGTAGTGTGCATTTCAATAAACTTCAAGGCGACTATGGCTTAGGATATGCCTACGGCAATGTTAAGACGCATAAACCAGGTAACCCACTACGCCCTATAATCAGCCAAATACCAACCCCAACTTATCACCTGGCAAAGAAACTCAATGAACTCCTAACTCCATACACTCCAAGTAAGTTTAGTCTACAATCATCAGCAGATTTCCTAGAATTGATCAAATCTACCCAGCCCGATGGAATCATCGCTTCCCTGGACGTTGAATCCCTTTTTACCAACGTCCCAGTCGACACAACCATAGGAATGATACTGGACAGAGTATACAGAGACGAGAGCACCCCCAAATTAGACATACCTGAGCCACACTTGAAAAGTCTTCTCGAAGCATGTACAAAGGAAGCCCCTTTCATCAGTCCACAAGGAGACATGTATTTACAAATAGACGGAGTAGCAATGGGCTCCCCCTTAGGAGTTTTATTTGCTAATTTTTATATGGGAACCATCGAAGATAGGGTCTTCAGTAGCAGACAAAAACCAACTGTATACTGCCGTTATGTAGATGACATATTCGTAATAGTAAAAGACTCAGATGAACTAATTGACCTAAAAAGACACCTAGAGAGAGAGTCAGTACTCCGATTTACACATGAAAATAGTGAAAATAACAGTCTGCCATTCTTGGATGTACTAATAACAAAAACAGGAACCTCTTTAAGCACCAACGTATATACCAAGCCCACCAACATAGGATTATGCCTGAACGGTAGAAGTGAGTGCCCCCAAAGATACAAAGCCAGTGTTCTCAATGCTTATATTCGTCGAGCGCTTACCCACTGCTCTGAATGGAGCAACGTGAGTAGAGAGTTTGAAAGAGTAACTCAGGTATTGGTGAACAACGGATATAGCAACGCGGAAATAAACGCTGCTATAAGAAGACACTTGGACCGTTGGTATAATTCAGAACCTAGAACAGAAACCACAACACCCCCAATAAAATTATATTACAAATCAACCATGCACAGTGAACATATAAAAGAGGAAAGAATAATGAAAGAAATAATCCGTAAAGGAGTAAAAAGCACTACTCCTAACCAAAACATAAACCTGATAATATTCTACAAAACCAAGAAGACTTCCGAACTCCTTATCAAAAACAGCCCGAAGCCGACGGAGAACCCTCTACAGCAGTCAAGCGTTGTATACATGTACACTTGCCCCCACGAAGGATGTAACCTTCAATGTAAGTACATAGGTATGACGTCGACCAAGCTGACGAGGCGTTTGACATGCCATCTTCAATCTGGTGCCCCTAGGAATCACATGAGACAAGCCCATGACATTACTCTAACAAGAGAAATGTTGAACAAGAATACTTGCATAATAGACAAAACCCAAGATTCAAGAAGATTACAAATTCTTGAGGCAATTCACATAAGAATAGAGCGACCTACCATGAACACCCAAATCACGGAACTATTTACTCTACCCACCATGAGAGTAAGGACAAGACAAGAACATATCGATGCCAACACAGAAGACAATGTCCAACATAACAGGCCAATTACACTGGATTAATCTTTGTGTTTAGATAGGAGATGCCTCGTATGGGCCAATAAGCCTTCTGCAGCCCCTATGTTTATCCCTTATGTATCCCCCCATGTTTTTCACCTTCATTGTATTATCACCTGACCTAATGCGGGTATAAAATCAACTAGTATTGTAAGATCTGTTCACTTGAGAATGAACCATGGAGGTTCGAAACGTCGTGCAAATTATACAAATAAGTGTAATACACTCTATAGTAAATCACTTCTTTTCTTCACCTTAAAAGTACGAAAATGAGTTTTGGAGAACTCCTATTCCAATTAAGCCCTGATGCTAAGAAAATAGTTAGAGGGATAGAAGCCCTAAACCAGAAAATAATAAATACAGAATATGCGGTCATATTCAATGAAACATGTTTGAAAGAAAACCTGCTGCCAGTATACACCAATATATATATATATATATATATATATATATATATATATATATATATATATATATATATATATATATATATATATATATATATATATATATATATATATATATATATATATATATATATATATATATATATATATATATATATATATGTCGTACCTAGTAGCCAGAACGCACTTCTCAGCCTACTATGCAAGGCCCGTTTTGCCTAATAAGCCAAGTTTTCCTGAATTAATTGTTTTTCGACTACCTAACCTACATAACCTAGATAAACCTACTCATTTCATTACCTAACCTAACCTAACCTATAAAGATAGGTTAGGTTAGCATAGGTAGGGTTGGTTAGGTTCGGTCATATATCTAACCTAATTTTAACTATCTTAAAATTAAATTGACCTCATACATAATGAAAAAGGTAGGTTTATCATTTCATTAGGTAAAAAAATTAGAAAAAACATATTAATTCATGAAAACTTGGCTTATTAGGCAAATCGGGCCTTGCATAGTAGGCCGAGAAGTGCGTTCTGGCTACTAGGTACGACATATATATATATATATATATATATATATATATATATATATATATATATATATATATATATATATATATATATATATATATATATATATATGTATACCTAGTAGCCATACGCACTTCTCAGCCTACTATGCAAGGCCCGAGTTGCCTAATAAGCCAGAGCATTCAGGAAAAACTTGCCATTTAACCTCCTAACTAATTAATTGTGTTTCGACTACCTAACATTTTCGGCTACCTAACCTTTTTCTTTTCGGCTACCTATAAAGATAGGTTAGGTTAGGTTAGGTAGGGTTGGTTAGGTTCGGTCCTATATCCCTGTTAATTTTAACTCCAATTAAAAAAATTGAACTCATACATAATGAAATGGGTAGCTTTATTATTTGATAAGAAGGTTATATAGAAAATATATTAATTCAGGAAAACTTGGCTTATTAGGCAAATCGGGCCTTGCATAGTAGGCTGAGAAGTGCGTTCTGGCTATTAGGTACGACATATATATATATATATATATATATATATATATATATATATATATATATATATATATATAATATATATATATATATATATATATATATTTTGATAGCAGTCTTTCTTGTACACATATGTTATTAAATATAACCGAAAAAGTAAGATTAATAATTCTAACACGAATTTTCTCAATATTTCTTTTCACTGTCGGTGGTAATTGAAAAATCAATTCTCCAAAATTCCTTTTTTCTTTTAGTCTGACGCGACACTTGAACGGGTTTCGTAATAACTTATTATATTTTCAAAGACTTTAGTTTACACACACACAACTATAACCTGCAAATACTAAACAATTTTTTTCTATGCTATCATTTAAACAGCTTTTATTTTATATACCCGCATTTGGATGAGGTGATATGTTACAACAGTTTCGAATGAGGTGAACAAAACTTTCAACACAAGATAGAGCAAACTTTCAATACAAGACAGAACAAGAGTATTAATGGGTATAAATTGGATAACACAAACAGAACACGAAACAATGGATATTGTAGAAGTGCAAAGGGCCTATTGGCCCATATTTCTTGATGCTTCTATATTGGAGCGGAGTCTTGAGGTGGGTAGAATATAGTTGTGCATTAATTGGCTGTTGATTGCTGGTGTTGACTTCTTGATGTGTAGTGCCTCGCAGATGTCAAGCCGCCTGCTATCGCTGTATCTATCGATGATTTCTGTGTTGTTTGTTAGGATTTCTCTGGCGATGGTTTGGTTTTGGGAAGAGATTATATGTTCCTTAATGGAGCCCTGTTGCTTATGCATCGTTAATCGCCTGGAAAGAGATGTTGTTGTCTTGCCTATATACTGAGTTCTTTGAGGCTTACAGTCCCCAAGTGGGCATTTGAAGGCATAGACGACGTTGGTCTCTTTTAAAGCGTTCTGCTTTGTGTCTGGAGAGTTTCTCATGAGTAGGCTGGCCGTTTTTCTGGTTTTATAGTAAATCGTCAGTTGTATCTTCTAATTTTTGTCTGTAGGGATAACGTTTCTATTAACAATATCTTTCAGGACCCTTTCCTCCGTTTTATGAGCTGTGGAAAAGAAGTTCCTGTAAAATAGTGTAAAATAGCGGGTAGAACCCACTACCTACCCACTTCAAGACTCCGCACCAATATAGAAGCATCAAGAAATATGGGCCAATAGGCCCTTTGCATTTACTTCCATTCTTCCCCTTTAAATTTACCCAATATTACCCAATTTTTCGTGTTCTGTCTTGTGTTGAAAGTTTGTTTTCACCTCATCCAAAACTGTTGTAACATATCACTTCACCCAAATGCAGGTATATAAAATGAAAAGCCGTTTGAATTATAGCATAGTAAGAACTCTGTTTAGTGTTTGCAGGTTATAGTTGTGTGTGTGTAAATTAAAGTCTTTGAAAAATGTAATAAGTTATTATGAAACGCGTTCAAGTGTCGTGTCAGACTAAAAATAATAATGAATTTTGGAGAATTGATTTTTCAATTACTATCGACAGTGAAAAGAAACATAAGAAATATTGAGAAAATTCGTGTTAGAATTATTAATCTTACTTTTTCGGTCATATTTAATAATATATTTTTACAGGAAAGACTGCTACCAAAATATACTAATATATATATATATATATATATATATATATATATATATATATATATATATATACTATTATAACATTTTCATTAAAACATTAATATATGTTAAGGTGACGTGCGGTACGTGGTGGTGGCCATAACCGGAGAGACAGTATCATGGCCAAGGTTCATGACGGAGAGAGAGGCGGTACTGAGTGTGAGCGCCGCCACGCCTCACGCTCCCACCAACGCTTCCCTTAACACTCAAGCTATCGTCTCTACTGCTGAAAATGTCGAGTAAGTTCCAAGCTGTTATTTGGTACATTTTTATAACTCGCCATAAACATAGAACATTTTGATTAGCAGAAGAACTTACTACAATTCCGTAGTGCTTGACTGAAGGTGAAGGAAAGACCTAATTTATGTTCAGGTATATTAAAAACAACATTTTCTTAGTTAACCAACACCCGAAGGTGCTGTATACAGCGTTGTGGCTGTTACAACACTGTACTCACCTAGTTGTGCTTGTGGGGTGGGAGCTTTCGCTCTTTCGTCCCGTCTCTACATCAACTGGTGTACATGTTCCTCAGCCTGAACGGAAAAAAATATTTCTAATGTCTTTGTGGCTCATTTGAGTACTAAAGTTCCACCTGTGTTCCACCCATTTATAATAGATTGCCTTTGTCCACCCTGTTAATTCCTCTAAGAAGTTTGTAGGTGGTGATCATGTCTCCCCTTACTCTTCTGTCTTCCAGGGACGTGAGGTTTAGTTCCCGTAGCCTTTCCTCGTATGTCATACCTCTTAGTTCTTGGACTTGTCTAGTGGCATACCTTTGAATCTTCTCTAACTTTGTATTATGTTTAACTAGGTATGGACTCCAAGCTGGAGTTGCCGACTCCAGGACTGGTCTGACATATGTTGTATACAAGGTTCTGAATGACTTTTTATGCAAGTTTCTAAAGTTATTTCTTATGGTGCCCAATCCAGCATATGCCGCTGATGATATCCTTTTGATATGGCCTTCTGGGGGACAGGTTTGGTGTGATATCAACCCTCAGATATTTCTCTCTCATTGACTCCTGCAGGAATTCACCTTCCAGATGGTACCTTGTGTTCAGCCTCCTGCTCCCTTCATCTAATTTCATTACTTTACACTTACCTGAATTAAACTTTAGTAACCATTTTCTAGACTATTCCTCCATTTTGTTCAGGTCGTCCTGGACAGACAGAATATTGTATTGTATATACAATATTTACAAATTGTATACTGCATATAGTACCTTGAGAAAGGATGTAAGTTACATCCTAAAATCTGGTTTTGATCTTTCCTTCACCTTGGTTTTTATTAATAATAATTCATTTTAATTGTGTTGTTTGAACAATAATTTGCAATATTATGGTCACAATAAGTCTATATCAATGCAAATTTATTTATTAAAGTAACAAATATATCATATTAAACCATCAACATTGTATCATAATCTTAGTTCGGAACATTTGACTAAATATACTTCAAACATAATCAGAATTATTTTCCATGTGATTATACTCTACCTAAAGTTATTTCTCATTTTCCGAAGAACCAATTTGTTATTTTATATATAAATAATATGGTTTGAGAGCTGTGCCATTCACTTGCTTCGTTAAGCAAGGTCATGCTGTTCCCAGAGATAAGGTTGTTCAATGTCAAGGAAGGTTAACATTTGGCGCCAGTGTTATAACCTAAGGAAGGTTCATTCATCTATACTCAAAACCCTTCTAGCTCCTTCAAAGAGATTGCCAAGGAGCACTCTGAGGTGAAGCTCTCAGCTCTGCTGGCGCTCGGGGCGGCAGCCGTCCTCTGCCCTGTGACCTCACGCCCTGGGGTGCTGCCCCCATTGGTCAACTCCTTCACGTGACCTGTCCTGACCAATCGCCAGGCGGCTGGCGCCCTCGCCCCTTGGCGGGAACTCGGTCTCCTTGTCGCCATATTGCAATCCTAAAGGGCGTAAACCTCTTTCAAGCCCAAAACGAAAATTGTAAATTTACTCCACATGATAACCTTGACTACTCTTTATATATATCAAAATGCTCCTTGAATTACATTGAATGTACGGAATGTAGAGATACAAAATGATGCAAACAAAATTTGGATGCAAAAATTGAACAGTAAGAGGAAATAAAAGGAAGTTTGCTTCCTAGAGACGGTAGATTTCCTCCAACTCCTCCGACGCCGGGCAGGAAGCCGTCTTTCTCCCTTCCTCATCGCTTTCTCCCTTCCTCCCATATTTTCCCTTCCTTCCTTCCCTCTTTCTCCCTCTCTCTCTCCCTTCCACAACCTCCAACTTTCCCCTTACCTTATTTTCCCCTTCTCACTCACCTTGGTCCTCCCATCCGTCTTCTCCTATCCCCCCCCCACTCCCCCTCCTCTTGTAACCCCATCTCCCCCCCCCCCCTCCCACTCACGCTTCATTATCCTTGTATGTCCTACAATGTTACCAATAGCATAATAGGATTACAGCAGGGTTTACCATTTCATTATAATAGTAAATGACCGTCACACAGAATGCAATAGTTTACCATTCAAATTTTTTAATACCTATACCTATAATAGCATCTTATTGCTTCGTAATTACAATTATTACTTAACCTATACCTATAATAGCATCTTATTGCTTCGTAATTACAATTATTACTTAACCTATACCTATAATAGGTTAAGTAATAATTGTAATTACGAAGCAATAAGATGCTTATCTTAACATACTAAGAAGGTAGGTAAGGTCGGTGTTTTCTATGAAGCT